ATGGACTCACACGCTGCAAGGCCTCCTATGTCTGGTTCCTCCCCCACCCCCAAGGGTTGTGGGCTCGGGGGTCCGTCTGCAGGGCAGCGCGTGTCAGCACTTCATCCTTCGTATGACTTAATCATCTACCATTTGAATATTTTTAACGCTGTCTTGAATGTAAGGAATTTTAGTTGGACACAAGACTTAAGATTCTATTTCCCTTCTGTCTCCCCGAAGAAGTCCCTGGTAATAGGTCATTATATTCCTTTTAGAAACACTCTCCACGTGCGCATATAATACCAGCCTCAGTCCGCTGATGCTGCGTAACAAACCACCCCAGAGCTTAGTGCCAAGAACACCTGCGTGTTTGCTCGCGATTCTGTCCCCAGCTTCAGCGGGGCGGTTCCTCTGCGGCCTCACCTGGGGTCAGCCACGCAGCCACGGTCAGCAGGTGGCATGAAATCCAGCCCTCAGCTGGGGGCCGCCTGCCTGTCCCCACGGGCTCTCCAGTCTCTGGCAGAGACCCCACCATGGACCTCGGGGCGCAGGGTTCCCGGGGGCGGCGTCAGAAGCCGCCAGCACTGCCACGCCCTCCGGCTTCTGGGGTCGCCCTCTGCTGCTCAGAGCATCACGTGGATGCAAAGACCTGGCCCTGTTCGCTCCGCCACGGGAGACTTTCTTCCACTTCGGCGACAGGATTCTCAAGTGGGGCTTGTGAGCGTCCGGGCGGCCGAGCCTGACCGGGGCTGAGGGTGGGCACTGCCCCCAGAGGCTGCCGGGCTCCCCCAGGCTCCTCGCAGGTGGCCCGCAGGGCTCTGCTCCGGAGGCAGGGCCGCGGGAGGCCCGAGGCGGCCAGATCATTCTAGCTAATGAGGGAAGTGTGTGCGGCCGGGCCTCCGTGCCACTTCCTGGCTCCTCGGGGCTGCTGGCCCTGCCTGCCTTGTCCCCGTGCTTTCTTGTTTGCTCTGAGTCACGGGGACCCGGCACCCGTCCTGGGCACTCTGGGAAGCGGCCTCGCCCTGGCGCGTGGCCTCTGCGCAGAGCTGCTGGGCCTCGTGCCCCTCTGCGGCCCCTGTCCAGTGGGGACCCACCCTCGGAGAGCGCTGGAGGTGTCTGTCAGGGGAGACCCGGTCTCCCCGTAGTGGGGGAGACATCGCACAGAGGCGCCGGGTGCTGCTGAGTGCCTGGGAGACTGAGCAAGCCGGAGGTGAGGAGTGACCTCAGAGGGGCTGTTTGGGGTGAGGTGGTTGGGGGACACCTCACAGCAGGGGACGTTTGCACCAGGTCTTGGATGATGCAAGGGAACAAACCCCTCAAGTGTCTTGGGAGTGGTGTCTCAGGTGGGGAGGGGGCCCAACCTGTGCAAAGGCCCTGGGGCAGGACCCATGAGAGGAGGGGAGGACAGGGAGGGGACGGAGCAGGTCGTGCGGGGCCTTGGGGACCCAGGGAGGCCTTGGACTTGCCCCCACCACCACCACCACCACTCAGGGAGGCAGGAGCCCTGGAGGGCTGCGGGCAGAGGAGGGTGGGACCTGACCCAGGTGCTCACAGGTGCCCTCTGGAGACCGTCGCGGGGAGGACGGACGTGGGTGAGGGCAGGAGCCTGGGATGGGGTGGAGGGGACCGTGCTGGTCCAGGTGATGAGCTGAGAGGGTCAGGGACGGGGGCAGGTTTTGGACAGATTGTAAGGGTACAGGTGGCTGATGGGAAGGCTCATGTCTGGTGCTGGGGCCCTGCAGTCCTCAGTTTCCACGTGAAGCAAACGTGGAGAAGCGGCTCTTGCTGAAGCCCATGTGCGTGCGGAGGGGAGAGGAACGGTTGTCAGTCAGCAAACGTTAGTAGGTGCCTGCTAAGGGCAGGGCCAGCCCTGAGGGAGGAGGACCCCAGCTCCTGCGGGGAGGACGGATGTTGACGTCATTGTCCCCCGGAGGGTCAGGACAGGGTCTCCAGGGTGGCGCAGCGGTTCCTGAGTGGAGAAGGCGGCAGGCGTGGGAGCAGCGTGTGCTGAGCAGGAGGGCGGGGGGGGGCCCAGGACAGGGAGCCGGGTGGGGGCGGGGGGCCGGGGCCAGGGCACTGGGCAGGGGGACAGGGGGGTGGCTGGGGCCTGGGACAGGGAGCCAGGCAGGGGGCGGGGAGCCAGGGAGCTGGACAGGGGGACTGGCTGGGGCCCAGGTAGGGGGGTGGCCAGGGCCCAGGACAGGGAGCCGGGCAGGGAGCAGGGGGTGGGGGGCAGGGCCTGGGCCAGGGAGCCGGGCAGGGGGTCAGCCAGGGCCCCGGACAGGGAGCTGCCTGGTGAAGGTGCCCGCAGGCCAGGGCGGGAGCAGCTACCTCCCAGGGTGGGTGCTCGGCCTGGCTCTGGCCCCAGAGGAGCGTGGGGGGCTGTGAGGTCACCTGCACAGGAGTGACCCGGCGGCCCGCGGCAGGACCCGATGGTGGCGCCGGCTGGTGGGCTAGGGCGAGGGGCCCAGCTCTGGAGAGCTGGCTGCGGCCATCCACAGAGGCGCGGGGAGACCAGAGGAAGCTGCTCAGGGAGGCGGAGGACGTGCCCGAGTCACGCAGCGGCGCAGCAGGGTCACTGCCTCGCCCTGAGCAGTCGGGGCCCTGGCGCCGAGGCGCCCCCCCTTCCGCCCGGCGGCCGGCCCAGCTGGGCCCCGGCAGGTGTTGGTCCAGCCTGGCCCACTCTCTCCCTCCCCAGGCTGGTTTTTTTAAATTTCCTCAAAAATGGGGTGGCTCGCTCAGAAGAGGATGGTCACGTCTCGGGCTGGGAGGAGCTCGACATGGCGTGGCCTCCAGCAGCCCGGCGGCCCGAGCAGCCACCGCCCCCGAAGCCGCCGCTCCCGGCATCCTGCTGCGGGGGGGCAGTCGGGCCCCCACCCTCTCACCCGAGCCAGCGTGTGGCCTTCCTGCGGCCCCTTCTGGCACGGAGTCCAGAATATTCCAGGTGGGAGGTCGAGTCTCCCTTTTATTAGCCCGCATGTGAGTCGGGCAGGAGAGTGTGGCTGTCGCGGGGACCCCAGGCATGAAGCAGGTGACATGGCGGCGGCCTGGTCGTGTCATCGGGTGTCCCCAGGCAGGTCAGGCCTGGGCAGGACGGCGTCTCAGATGCTGGTGTTGGTGTGGCCTGGAGCTGCCACGCCGCCCCCGACAAGCTGGGGGTACCCGGCAGCCGGTGTCCCCCTGGTATCGGCCAGTCGCCCACCAAGCCCGTTTCCTTGGCTAGACCATGTCCAGCATATGGCTGAGGCGCAGGTGGTTACGGCTGAACGAGGACCCCCCTCCCCACTGCAGGCCAGACTCAGGGTCCTTTGGGGTCGCTTTTCCTCTAAGTGTGACCCATGTGCCGTCACTCACACTTTTAAGCTTACGATTTAGTTTTTGTGTGTTCGCAATGTGGTGCAACTGCACACACTGATTCTAGAACATTCTTGTCCCCTGGAGGAAGCCCTATTCCCATTAGTAGCTTCGACCGCTCTCCCCTGTCAATGGCGGGACGACGCCCACAGTCCTGTCTCCAGCCTGGCCGCCCCCAAGGTTTGCTGACCCTGGAGGTCTCCTTGCCGGTGGGTCCGGGGCGTCCCTCATTCAGCTCGGCCACGCTGTCCCCGACCGTCCTGCCCTGTCGCTCATCTCCGCTGAGGCCATGTGTCCTGCCCTGTCACTGCTGCAGTCAGAATCCTTCTCTGAATCCGAGAAGTCATTCTCGACTTCTTGTTTTCTTCACTTTGCTTCCAATGAGCGTAGCCTAACCTAACACCTGTCAGAACCTGCGCACCCCTCTCCCTCCTGGGCCTCCACCTGGTGCACCCCATCGCCTCCCTTTCCACCCAGCACCCACCGCCGGTCCACCCCAGCTGGGCCCCCACCCTCCCCACCCCCTGCCCTCCCCGCGGTGGCCCCCAGAGGGCGCCCGTGAGCACCCAAGCCAGACCCCCCCCCCCCAGCCCTCCAGAGCTCCCACCTCCCTGGGGGAAAAGCCCCTGTCCTCCCTTGCTGACCTGACTCGACCCCTCACCCGTCACCCCAGGCCCTCCTCCTGGCTCTCCCCACACTGGCCAGGCCTTCTCTGCCCCCCACCCCCCGACTGTGAGCCCTTGCAGGTGGGGCGGTATCTGTCCTGGTCCCACTTGCCTTCCTGCCAGCAGGACACGTGGTGGACACCCTGTTGCTGCCGTGACAAGTCACCACGGCTTGGTCTAAACCACACACCTGTGTCACTCTCTGGAGGTCACAGGCCTAAAAGGGGTCTCCCGGGGCTAAAACCCAGTTGTGGACAGGGCTGGTCCCCCGCCCCAGGGAGACCCACTCCTGCCCCCCAGCTTCCAGAGGCGCCCCCTCCCCAGCCTGCGGCCCCTCCTCTGTCCTCACCACCGTGGGGGTCTGCCGGTCTCTGGGGCTCCCACCCTCTGGCTCCCTCTCATGAGGCCCCCCGGGAACCCAGGGTTGTCCCCACCTTGCCCCCCTGCAGAGCCCGTCATCCGCAGGGGGTGGGCGTATCTGCCATCCACACTCATTGAACACACAGTCCTCAGCAGAAGCCTGCCTTCCGGGGGAGGGTGCCAAGGCTCAGAGAGGTCGCTGGTGGCCTCACGGGAGCCGGGATTGGGGGGAGGGCCCCCAAAAGCCCTCTGCTGCCTCTGACTTCTCTCCGTGGCAAGCAGCTCTCCCCGGGAACTGTGTGGACAGGAGCCAGGGGGCCGTGTCCGCAGCCCTGGGCACCTGGCCCTTCCCACCGACCCAACGGGGGCCCGAGCCTCTCCTTGTTAACCCCTGCTCCCACCAGCGGGTGTAGACGGCTTTGTCAGTTCAGCCAGTTGTTTGCCATGGGGGACCTGACGTCTTGAGGCGTCCGTGGTGGGTTGGCATCCTTGCCCGTTTCACACCCCCGGTCCTCCCATCCCTCCATGGGGTGCAGGGCTGAGTGGGGTCAGAGGCACCTGTGTGCGGCGGCAGCAGGGTGGTGACAGCAGGTGGAGGGCCGCCCCGGCTCCAGGCTGAAGCCTCTCCCTTCTCTCCTGCAGGCTTGGCACAGAAGAAGATGGTCCCGACGGAGGTGAGTGTCCTGTGCCCGCCTGACCCGCCTCCTCTCCAGAGAGACCGGCCCGGGGTCCGGGGCAGCTGACCGCACCTCCGGGGGCCCCAGTGGCAGGCGGTGAAAGTCCTGCAGTCTGGCCAGCGCCTCGAGTTTCAGGGAGGGGAGCCGCTGGGGCGGGGAGTGCGAGGACCCGGCCCGGACAGTGAGGGACAGAGGGACCGGAGACCGAGGGGCAGAGAGTGGGAAGGCAGCCGGCACGTGCGGGTCCCTGCGGAGTTCCCAGGAGGACAGGACCGGGCCCAGTGCCCATCACCAGCACCCTTACTGTAGCGTCCCTGGGTCCCCGCACGCTCGTGCTCCAGAGAGCTTTCCCTGGGGGTGCCGCCTGTGGGGCCTGGGCCGCCCTCCCACTCAGCCCTGCTGGGGGTGGGGGTGGCGTCAGCCCTTCCCTGGTCCCTGGTCCCTGGTCCTGAAAGGAGCCCCGCGTTTCAGGAGCGGCCCAGAGGTGGCGTTCCTGTGCCTGTGCCAGCTGCTGGGCCCCAGGCATCCATGTCCCCTGGATGCCACCCGCCACGTGGCATCTTGCGAGGGGGGCTTCCCAGGCGGTGCCAAGCCGCGGGGCGCTGGGGAGTCCTCGAGGGCTGCAGGGCAGGGGCCCTGCCTTCCCATTGCCGGGAGAGCCCGCCCCCTGGTGGCCGGTGTGCAGAACACACGGCAGCCGGGCTCAGGAGCTGGGGCAGGTGGGGCATCGGAGGGGCTGCTGGGCCCCGACGTGGGGCAGTGGGGTGGGGCTGCTCCGAGCCGTCTCAGCTGGGGGCCGCAGGGCTGTGCAGGCCCTGTGGATGGCGGCAGGTGCACAGATGACGCTTGAGGGCCGCCTTGGCCTTGGGCTCCCAGCTGCCCCCCCTCACCTTCCACCACTGCCCTCGTGGAGTCACACGTCAGTGCTGGTGCTCGTGCACCGGTCTGCCAGGCCTGCCACGGCTGTCCCCAGAGAGGGCCCAGGCCGGGGGCACCGTGCCCCTCAGCCCCTGGCCATTCCAGCCCAGGGTCCCAGCTGGGTGACTCTGCCCTGGGGGCCACCGCGTGGTGTCTGGGGACATCTGTGGTCGTCGTGCCAGGGCAGGGCTGCCCCGAGGGGTGGGGGCCGCAGGGAATGACCCGGCCCCCGTGTCAGTGTGCCAGACCCTGCAAGGAGGCTGTGCTGGCCGATTTCCTGCCTTTGTCTGGGAGCCGGAAGCAGCCTGGGGGTGGGCCCTCCTGGGTGTGCAGAGTTGGGCCGTGCGGGCCCTGGGGTGACAGGCCACCTGCTCTGTCCTGGCGCCCGCCCGCACCAGCCTTTACCCCATGTGTTTTGTCAGGACCCAGCGACTCAGCCTCCCTGCTCAGGGTTTCCAGAGTGTTCTGGCCCCAGCGGCACCTCTGTGCTGATTTTTGATGCTTCCTACTTCCTCTTCTTCAGGCCCCGCTGATGACTGGACAGCCGGGTCCTGGCCACGGGAAGAAGTTGGGTCATCGGGGCGTGGACGCATCTGGCGAAACCACCTACAAGAAGGTTCTCTCCTGCCCTTAGCTGGTGGGGTGGGGCCCCCGGCCGTCCTGGGCCCCCACAGGGTCGGGCGACCCCTGTGCCCGGGTCTGGCTGGAGGCACATGCTCTCATGCCGGCCCCTTGTCCCAGCGACGTCCTTGCCTCCTGTCGCTGATGTCACAGGCGTCGGGCGCTGTGCTCGGGTGGCTGCAGGGGTCACCTGCCACCTCCGGCCCTGCTGGCTCCTCTGGGGAGGGGACATGCCGTTCTCCTTCCTTCCCTTGAACGTGGGGCTGAGCTGATGGAAGCCTGAGCGAGGCCAGGCCACAGGGTGCACAGGAAGGGTGACCACGTGACTCACCCTTTCCAAGTTAGATGGTTTCTAGCATCTTCCCAGTTGTGTCCAGCCATCACCACAGTCAGTCGTAGCGCTGTTTCTGTCACCCAAAATGACGTCCCCGTTAGCTGTCACTCCCATCTCCCCCCCCCTTCAGGTGTGGGCAGGTTTCAGCCCCGGCGGCTCAGACCACATAACGCCTGGCAGCCCCAGGATGGCCAGTACTGCCATCTCCATGCCCAACTATGGGTGGAGAAACTGAGACACAGCAGCAGAGTCACTCCCAGCGTGATGATGCACATCCCTGGGAGGATGGGTGGAAGGAACAGAAGTAGAGTTGGGGTGTCACTCTGTAAATTTATGCCACCCCTGAAAAAAGATCCTGGCAGTAGACTGACCCTTCCTGAGTCAGGACAGTTTTGAGAAGTTGGAACCTTCTAGAACCTAGATGGAAAACAGGCCTTGGGGCCACGTGAGGTGATACTGGAGTCTCAGCCAGGCCACCTCCTTGCTGTGCGCCCGTGTGTACTAAGTGACACAGAGGCCAGCGGGTCTGTGACAAGTACTTGGCAGGTGCCCTGGGGCCTGGTGGCGGTGGCGGGTGCCTGAGTGCAGCAGCGGGTTGGGCACGCGCCCCGACCTCCTGCCCCGGGGGGGCTGCTGCTTTTGCCGGTCACCCTGGGGGCCAAGGGCCTTGATGCAGCTGGGTATCCCTGCAGACCACATCCTCCACCCTGAAGGGGGCCATCCAGCTGGGCATCGGCTACACGGTGGGCAATCTGAGCTCCAAGCCGGAACGCGACGTGCTCATGCAAGACTTCTACGTCGTGGAGAGCATCTTCTTCCCCAGGTAGGCCCGGCCCTGCGCCGTGGAGCTGCTGCTGCGGTGCCTGCAGCCTTGCTCTCGGAGCGCCTTGCCCTGCTGCAAATCGCCCAGGTCTCTCCTGGCATGTGCTCGGCTTGGAAGTCTGACCCCGTATCTGCCACGATGTTAGTTCTCTACTGAACCAGAGAGACGCGGTGTGACCGGTTGGGAGAAAACAGGAAGAGAAAATGTGAAGTTTCTTTTTCTCTCATGTGAAAAGAACTGATAGGCAGTCAGTCCAGGGCTCAGGCGGCTCCCCGGGTGGGGCCCCTGTTCCTTCCAGCAGCTCCACCATCCTCATGTGCAGCTTTGCCAGCCAGTGCTGTCCGGTGGCTGCCTGGGATCCTGCCATCACACCTGCATTCCACCCGTGGGAGGAAAAGGAGAAGGGGAGCACAGGCCCCTTCCCTCTAAGGGCAGGACCTGGAAATGGCACAGGTTTCTGTTCCGCCCATAGCTCTTTGGCCACGCACAGGCTCATGACCACCCCCACTGACAGGAGGGGCCGGCAGTGGACTTATTCTGGGCGGGAGTGGATACTGGGACACAGCTGGAGACGGGCCATGGCCCTTGGCCCCCGGGGGCCCCGTGCTGCTCTCTGGGCTGGCCACCAGGGGAGGCTGTGCGCCCGCCGGCGTGCTGGGCACGTGCACCCCCGAAGCCAGCGTCCCTCACGGGCTTCCCTCCCTCCTTGCTCCACAGTGAAGGCAGCAACCTCACCCCCGCCCACCACTTCCAGGACTTCAGGTTCAAGACCTACGCACCCGTCGCCTTCCGCTACTTCCGGGAGCTCTTCGGGATCCGGCCGGACGATTACTTGGTGAGCACCTTAGGGCACGACCGCCGCGTAGCAGGTTCCACGGCAGGTGCTTCCCGCGGGTCAGGAACGTGGGTGCAACTTCCTGAGGGAACCAGCACTGCTCCGGCCAGGGCCGCATTGGTCCCGAAGTTCTCCAGCTGCCCGGGGGTGCCCAGAAGGCACGGGGCCCCTTGTCAAGGCCAAGGCCTGGTCCCCCAACCACGGGCTCTGTGTCGTGCTCCATGGCCGCCCCTACTGTCCCCTGCAGCCCCGTGAACACCTTCCCCGTGGTCCTGCAGCCTCATTAGAGCGAAGACGGCCTGGTGGTCCTGGAGTGGAAGCGACCCAGGGCCACCTAGGTTTGAGGTCTCGTGAGTAGAGCGGAGACCTGCTGCACGAACGGTCGTGGTGATGTGGCCTCCGTGCCCTTAGCGGGGAGCGGGCACCAGCTGGCGCGACCTGGCTGCAGGGCAGGGACTCAGACCCGGTGAGGTCCTCTCTCGGCCTCTCTGTCCCCTTCAAGACCCATCCTGCTGCAGCGACAGGGGGACGAGGCCCCTGGGACTGAGAGACGCTCCCACGGCAGGGGCGGGAGCTCGGGTGCAGCTGGAGCGGGCACCCAGATGGCATCATTGTCCCTGCTTGTCAGCACTGCCCCTTTGGGGGTCTTGTCTCCTGGAGGGGTCCCCGTGGGCCACGGGCACTGCCTTGGGTCAGAGACTTCTCTTATAAGGCAGAAGCGAGGGCCAAGCAGGGACCTTGCGGGGGCTGGTGTCCTGGGCCTCTGGAGCCCACAGCCACTGTCCCTCACAGGCAAACCCCAAAGGCGGTACGGCCGACCCTAGCTGGCAGGAGACGGGGGATAGTGCTGAGAGAAACAAGTGGTGGGAAGGGAATGGCTTTGTCCAAAAGTCTATGAGCAGAGAATATTCTGGAACCACATGGCTAATAGTTGCCCTCAGGGAGTGGCCTGGTGGGGATATGGGGTCAGGCCTCTCAGGGTCCTGGCTGCCGAGGGAGAAGAAGTGACACGGGGACCTCCTGGCCGGGTGACCAGCTAGCAGGGCGGGGTCACGGGCAGGTGACCCCAGGTGTGTCCCTTCTCCCTCAGAGCCCAGGGTGGGCTGGGCACCCCCTGCACCATCTCCCTCATGCTGCCCGGCTGTCCTGAGCCTCGTGGCTGCCACGGATGGACGGAGGGCCGTGGGTCTCCCTCCACACCCACTGCCTCCCTGAGCTGGTTGCTGGCTGCCTGTGCCAGTGCAGGTGGGAGGCCCGTTGACTCCGCTCCCCTCCGCCGACAGCCCCCACCTGGTCCCTGGGAGGTCGCGCCTCGCGGGGTGCCCATCGCACTTTCAGCCAGCCCCACTGCGATCAGTGCTTGGCACACCGGGCCCCACCCCGGGGTTCCCACGGTGCCACCCAGGAGCAGCTGGGGGCTCCCGATCCCCTGGGTCTTCATCCAGCTGGGGAACGCTGACTGCTGGGGCGTAGGGTTATGGGTGCCCTCTGGCCTTGGGCCCTCGACAGAGTCAGCCCAGGGCTGGCAGGGTGTGCTGTGATGGCAAACGCCTGGTCTTGGGGTCCAGGCTTCACTGTAGCTCGCTTCTCCCTGGGGGCACGGCCACACTGGAGCTGGTGACACCTTGTTTCCCCCTGCTGCTGCGGCCCTGTGAGCCTCCCCGCCACACTGCAGGACACCCCCAGCGTGCTGGTGTTCCCCGGGCCAGGGGCAGCATGCGGCACCCGGTGGGGGCGGGGGGCGTCCTGCTCCTCCCTGTGTCCCCCCCACACCTGTCGGCCCCAGTCTTACACTCTCAGCCCAGTGGGGAATGTGCTGGGGTCTCATCCGTGTTGTATACCCACGGTGCTCAGTCAGGACTGAGGGACAGAAAGCCCCCCAAACAGCCGTCACCCTGGAGAGTGCTTCCCTGGCTCCCTAGCTGAACGGGCCCAGGGAGAGCAGCCTGCAGGGCTTTCCCGTCCACTCCTTTGCTTGCCGGCCACCGTCCTAGGCGCTGGGGACCCTCCACCAACAACACGCTTAAAAATCCCTGCGTCCACAGAACGTACTGACTGCTGGTGGGAGGGCGTGTGGGGCTGCTGGACTGCAAGAGCAGAGGTGAAGCAGATGTCAGTGGAAGAGAAGGTGGGCTAAGGGCTGCTCGCCAGAGGCACAGGTCCCCTTCTGTGCTGTTCTGGAGGGTGGTCTCCGTACCAAAGGTCACCCTGTGGTCCAACGTGGCTGCTGGGGCTCCAGCTCTCACGTCAGCACTCCGGGTGGGAAATAGATGGGATGGAGGGAAGGTCCCAAACTCCAAGTGTGCCCGCCTCTGTCACTCGCTTAGGGAGCCTTCCCTAAAGCTCCGCTCAGAAGCTTCTACAGACAGATATTGGCCAGAGCTGACTCTTGAGGCCTCACCTAGCTGGGGGGGGGGGGGGGTAGTGGTTGGGAAGTGAGTGTGGCCCGATGTGTCAGCACCCCACCCCGACTGGGTCTGTCAGCAACAGGAGACGGACTGGGCCCTAGGAGGTGAGCACCCCGGCTGCTGGCTCGGCCAGGGTTCGACTCTGTGCTGTGTGGCCTCAGGCACGTCGGTCTCCCTCTCTGAGCCTTTCTTCGTCTGTAAAAGGAACAGTGACCTGTTCCAGAGTCTTCTAGCCACTGGGCTGCGAGGTGTCAGCAACCCACCTGCACACTCTCTGCCCCCCCAGTACTCGCTGTGCAACGAGCCCCTGATCGAGCTGTCCAACCCTGGCGCCAGCGGCTCCCTCTTCTACGTCACGAGCGACGACGAGTTCATCATCAAGACGGTGATGCACAAGGAGGCCGAGTTCCTGCAGAAGCTGCTGCCCGGCTACTACATGGTGAGCCTGCCCTGCAGCCTCCTCCCCCAGCTCCTTTCCCTCACAGGGCAGGCGCCGGAGCAGGGGCCCCGGGCACCACCCCGCCTCTTGGGGGCTGCAGGGGCCTTGCTGGGTCACTGAGCCTCACCCACAGGATCCCCCTCACGCGGTACCCCACACACGGCAGGCAGGGATTGCCATCCAGGGGGGAGGTGGGCACCCGAGCAGCCCCCGCTCCCTGTCCCCTGCCCCCACTGACACCCCCGTCACGGATCCCAGAAATCATGTCTCATGGGGCTTGTGTGTCTGTCAGTACTGGTGACTCAGGCGTGGGGGAGGGGGGCGGGCCACCAGCTGGCCTGTCACCAAGGACCAGCTGCTGGGGCGCTTCCCGTTTCCCGGGTGACTCACAACCTGAAAGGGCACAACAGACCCCCTGGTGGAGGTGGAAGCAGGAGCCTCCGCTTCCGTATCCAGCCGCCCCGGGGTGGAGCTGGCTCGGCCCGAGCGCCCACCTGCCCTGCTGAGCCCGACCTGGCACCTGGCAGCGGTGGGCCCGCCCTTTCTCGGCAGCTGTGCTCGGACCCCTCTCTGCTTGGGGCGTCTCATCCTAGCGCGTGGGCTTGGGTGTGCCCCTGGCTCCCGGCTCCCCTCGGTCGGGGCTCAGCATGCTTTCTGGAAGGAGCCAGACGGCCTCTCCCTGCCCTGCTCAGCCCTGCCGATGTCCCAGGGAGGGCCCCGCGGGCCTGGAGGGAGCAGCAGGCATGTCGTAGCGCTGGTGACACTTCACCGACTGACACGGAAACGTGAACTTCACGTAATCTTCATGTGTCACAAAACCCTACCTTCGGCCGGCCGCGTGAGAACAAGCGGGTGCTCGGATTTGGCCCTCCAGCCGGAGCTTGCCAACCCTTGCCCCGGACAGTGCCCAGCGGCCGTGCCCCCATGTCACCCCGGGGTGGGCTGGGCACGTGGGACCCCTGGTCTGGCCCTGACACCTGCAGTTGGCCCCTTGGAGCCTCGTGTCTGCTGGGGAGATGGTGCCCAGTTCCCGTCAGGATGCTGGGGGGGGGGCGCCCGCCCCCCGGGAGGTGGCCAGAGAGCGCTTCCTGAGGACGGCCACTCCTCTGACCCCTCTCCCCTCCCCCACCTCCCAGAACCTCAACCAGAACCCGAGGACGCTGCTGCCCAAGTTCTACGGGCTGTACTGCGTGCAGTCGGGCGGCAAGAACATCCGCGTGGTGGTCATGAACAACATCCTGCCGCGCGTGGTCAAGATGCACCTCAAGTTCGACCTCAAGGGCTCCACGTACAAGCGGCGGGCGAGCAAGAAGGAGAAGGAGAAGAGCATCCCCACCTACAAGGACCTGGACTTCATCCAGGACATGCCCGAGGGGCTCCTGCTCGACGCAGACACCTTCTCCGCGCTCGTCAAGACGCTGCAGCGGGACTGCCTGGTGAGGCCGCCGCGCCCAGCCTCCCCCGAGCACAGGGGGGCCCGCGGGCCCTCGCCTCTCTGAGCCTCCATCGTGTGTCTGTGCGGTCTCCTCCACCCCTGCAGCCCTGCCTGACGTGCCCAGCCTGCCGGGGCTGGGTCTTCCAGGGCCCTCTGGCCCATCCACAGCCCCCCAGCCCACCACCCCCGGCTCCCAGGCCTCTGAAAACTGCATTATCTCCCCAGAGGACCCCCCCAGACCTCTGAGGACCTTGTGCTCCCCTAAGCCCTGATGTCAGAGACGCTGGGGCTGGGAGCACCCGGGCTCCTCAGCTGTCACCAGGCAGGTGGGAGCTCTGTCGGGAGGAAGGACACACCCTGTCCCGGCCCCAATTGGAGGCCTGGCCCCTTGGTCTTCTCTTCACCGTCTGTGCAGTGGGGATCGGCCCTCACGTGGCTGAGTGGGCCCAGACCCAGACGTGGCTTGGGGTCGCGCCAGGCCGGGTTTGGGGATGGGGACGGAGAGCTTGATCTCTTGACCCCCACCTCTGGTAGGTGCTGGAGAGCTTCAAGATCATGGACTACAGCCTGCTCCTGGGCGTGCACAACATCGACCAGCAGGAGCGCGAGCGGCAGGCCGAGGGCGCCCAGAGCACCGCGGACGAGAAGCGGCCTCTGGGCCAGAAGGCCCTGTACTCCACGGCCATGGAGTCCATCCAGGGCGGGGCCGCGCGCGGGGAGGCCATCGAGTCGGACGACACGTAGGTGGCCCGGGGCCGGCGGGGCGTCCAGCTCCTCTGCCCACACCCCTTTGGCAGGTGTGAGGCGGGCGGGGGTAGGGGGAGGGTGGCCGGGGGGCAAGAGACCACAGAGCTGATGAGTCCAGAAGCCCATCTGCAGCCAGTTCAGGGTGTGGGAACCAGAGCAGCGGCACCCGCCTGGCAGGCCCCATGGGGGTCACACGCGTGGACACACAGACCCCCACGTGTGGATGAGCAGGCCAGCGGGCTGAGGCCATTGGCTGGCCCTGCGGGAAGCACAGCTGCCCCCTCCTCCTGGCGGGCCCCAGAACAGGGTAAAGCACCACTGTCCGAAGCAAAGCTGGAAAGGCGTTGAGGAGGGTGCGGTGCTGGGCACGGGGGTGGGCTCCTGCCACGGGCCGTCAGGCCCACAGCCCCAGGGATGGGCGGCCGTGATGGAGGATGAGCTCATGGCTTGGATCGGCGGGCTGACCCAGTCCTGCCATGGGGCTCGGCTCTGGGGGGAGATAGCCTTGCACGGTGCCCCCTCCCACCTTCCCAGCACTGTGGATGCTGAGCCGGGTCATTGTCTGGGCCCTGGGGGGCTGAGCAGCCTCCCCGACCCCCACCCACTCGGTGCCAGGAGCGACCCCCGTCGTGAGGACCACAGATGTCTTCATACATTGTCCAGAGCTTGTGGAAGGCACTTCCTGGGTGGGGACCGCTGCTGTAGGCAGGTGTCAAGGGTGACTTCTCGTCACCACACGCTGACCATGCTGAGGACCATCATGGGGGGAGTGGCTGGTGAAGGAGGGGGCGTCACCCCCACCATAGCTGGGGACACGGGGGCTCAGAGGCAGAAGCAGCTGTCCTGGGTGCACAGCTGGCTGGTGACGGGGCCGAGGCTTGCCCATGGCCTGGTCACCACACTTGGCCAGCAGCTGCAGGGGGGCCAGAGGAGGGGCTGAGCCCAGCCCCCGCAGGGCAGGCTGGGGAGCAGCAGGGCCTGGCGCGGCTAGCCCACCTCCAACCATCTTGGTGTTTGTAGGATCTGTGCCGGGCCTGGCAGGGGCTGGCGGGGTGCGCAGGTGAGCTCAGCAGTGCGTGGAGTGCAGTGAGCTGAGCCTGTGGGGGCCCTGGGCCAGCGGGTCTGGGGTCATTGGTGACCTGAGGACAGTCGCTGTGTTGTGTGACCTCACTAACCCTGCTGGGCCTGGCACATGTGGGCCGGGGGCTGAGTGAAGCAACTAACTCCCCGGTTGGCACTCAGAAGCCCTGGTGGCCCTGCCCGCGGTGAGCGTGTGCATGCACGTGCATGGGGGTGCGTGTGCGTGCACATGGGCGTGTGGGTGCCGGACCCTTCGGCGGCCTCCAGCCTCGAGTGCCCCAGAGGAGGGGAGCAGCTCAGTCCCAGCTGCGCTGCCGCCTGCAGGGAGCACGGGGGTGCAGGCTGGACTCTAGCAGGGGGGCTCGGGGCAGGGCGAGTGCCTGGTGCCCTCCCATGTGGTCCGGCTCTGTGGGGTGCTGAAGACTCTCCCCCTCTCCCACCAGGATGGGTGGGATTCCCGCCGTGAATGGCCGAGGGGAGCGCCTGCTGCTGCATATCGGCATCATCGACATTCTGCAGTCCTACAGGTGGGCGCCCGCCCTGCCTCCCCCTGCCCTGCCTCCTCCCTGCCCCCCCGCCCGCCTCCCCCTGCCCCTGCTCCCCACCCGCTCTGTCTTCCCCCCTTCCGCCCCTGCCTCCCCCCCTCCCGCCTTCTCCCTGCCCTGCCTCTCCTTTCCCCCAGATACACCTGCCTGCTCACAGGAGCAGCGTGCCCTCTGCTGTCCAGCCTTCCTTAGCACGCCCTCCTCCCCAGCCCTGAGGGGAGGCATCTGGTCCCTGACCAGGTGGTGACTCCGCGTGAGGATCTGTGCTAGGAGTGCGGTGAGAGCCCACGTCAGGTAGAGGCTGAGGCTGGCGTGGGGGACGGGCTGTCATCAGCTCCCCTGTCTATTGAGCACCTGCTGTGTGCCAAGTGCTGGGCTACACTGAGCAGGATGGAAGCTCGTTCGTGGCCACAAACCCCGGCATCCCTGGACCGCTCACGTGGGGGCAGTACATGCTCGTGGCCTGAGGGATACTCCAGCCTCGTGACAGCTGGGGGGTCAGCAGCCCTGTCGTCTGTGCTCATCCTTTTTTTTTTTTTTAAGATTTTTTTATTTATGCATGAGAGACTTAGAAAGGTGCAGAGACACAGGCAGAGGGAGAAGCAGGCTCCATGCAGGGAGCCCGACGTTTGACTCGATCCCGGGTCTCCAGGGTCAGGCCCTGGGCTGAAGGCGGCGCTAAACCGCTGAGCCACCCGAGCTGCCCTGTGCTTGCCCTTCACGAGGCTTTGCCAATGAACTTGTTGTCCTGATGGTAGTGTATGTCCTCGTGCTCGGGCCGACAGGACCCAAGGGACGTTGTGGGCGGGTGGCCCCTGCTCCCTGCCCTCCGCCTCGGGAGCCCGCTGGGCCTTGGGTCTTTTCTTCCTCGGGGGTCTCTGCTTCCTAAATCAAAACGCGACTCCTGCCCGTCAGACGCTCAGACTCACAGCCTGTTGATTTGCTGCCTGAGGCCGATGTCTGCTGCAGAATGTTCCTCTCAATTTAGGGCAGGATTAGGAAGCTTCTTCTTTTTTTTTTTTTTTTTTTTTAATTTTTATTTATTTATGAGAGTCACACAGAGAGAGAGAGGCAGAGACATAGGCAGAGGGAGATGCAGGCTTCATGCACCAGGAGCCTGACATGGGATTCGATCCGGGGTCTCCAGGACCGCGCCCTGGGCCAAAAGCAGGCGCTAAACCGCTGCGCCACCCAGGGATCCCAGGATTAGGAAGCTTCTGAGGTAGCAGAGCAGGGTTTCTGCAGACGCTCCGAGTGGAGGCAAGGAGGGGGGCCTGTGTATGTCAGGCAGCCACAAACTCATCCTGGGGCAGGGGTGTCATGGGGGGTGTGCTGAGGAGAGGACCCTCCACCGCTGCGGGCTGGGGGGTGTCCGGGAGGGCTGTCTGGAGGAGGCAACACTCTCCGCAGCCCACGTGTGCAGGGGCCTAGTTAGAGCCACAGTGCAGGACAGTAGTTCCAGCAGGGGGCCCAGGGCTCAGGCCAGGCCATGAGGAGAGGGGAAGGACGTGCTCTGGGAGGCGCTGGCCCTCCGTCCCCCACAGGGGGCCAAGCACCATGGTCTTTTCACTTCCGCTCCAAGAGCAGCAGTGGTAGGAGCTGCCAGCAGGCCTGGAGGGGGACAAGTGGACAGGAGGGAGGCGGCTTCTGGCGGGTGCAGCAGGCAGCCTCAGCTCCTCTGGACCAGGGCTCCCCCACCCACTCAGTGCCAGGAGCACCCCCAGTCGTGGTGACCACACACGTCCCCAGACACGGCCCAGTGCCCCACTGGGAACCACTGGGCCTGAAAGTTTGGCAGGTGTTCAGGTATTTCTTCTCTCTGCAGGTTCATCAAGAAGCTGGAACATACTTGGAAGGCTCTTGTCCACGATGGGGTGAGTGTTCGTCCATCAATCCACAAACATGACCTCCTGGGGCCACGACAAGAGACATGTTCCCTCCTCCCTGGAGTCTCCGTCCAGTGGGGGCAGCCCTGTGACCTGGCAGTCACAGGCCAGGGGGTCGGGGTCAGGACGGGAAAGCACAGGTGGCAGCCACAGGCTCTCCGGTGAGGGGTCTGACCTCCACTGGTGAGAGGTACAGGAAGGCTCCTCGGAGGTGGAGTGGGAAGGATTCCCAAGGACAGCCTGGCAGGAAAGTCGGGCCATTGTAGACACATGCGATATGGAGGGCGTCTTGGGCACTGGCCACACCCAGGGGCTGTGCAGTGCTGACCCTTTTCCCTGGGGGCGTGTGGCCTGCTCCAGGATGGCTCCACTGCGTGAGAGTAGCTTGGAATGCGCGGTTTCCTGTCAGCGCTGCCAACGTCTGGATGCTGGCAGTGGGCGATTCCCAGATATAAAAGACTGAGGACCAACGGTTGGGGAGCAAGCGGAGCCCACCTGGGGGCCCCAGGCAGCCCTGGTCCAGTGGTGCTGACAAGCTGGCTGGTGCCTCGGATGCACGCCTCCCCTCCCGTGCCCCCCTGCAGACCAGTTCTTAGTAAAGTGCTAAGGGCTGTGTGTGTTTGCATAGTCTGTAAAGCCCGACACCCCTCAGAGTGTTTGGAGGGTCTAGGCGGGAGCTTCTGGAGAGTGCACCGGGAAGGTCCAGGTGGCAGCCGGTGAGCAGGAAGCCGTTCCGTAGGTTATGAGGCTGTGACAGATGAGAGAGCTGCTAAGTCCTGGCGAGGCCACTAGTAATCTCTCAAGTGGGGTTTGCGTCAGCTCCCGGGGTCCAGATGTTGATCACAGTGACCACACAGGCGTGAGCGGTCTTGGGCAGGAGGGGTGGCCGGTGGAGTGGAGGCCCGGGTCCTTCCTGCTGTCACTGCACACCCCCGGGCGTGGCCCTTGCCCCCAGCCCCGCAGGCTGCCTGTCCCTGCCTCAGCTCCCACGCCGTCTGCCAGAGCATGCGGTCACGCCTCGCAGCAGCAAGGATGCTCACCATAGCGAGCGTTCTGGAGCCCGCGTGTCCCTGCGGGTCCTGTTACATTATAGTGGGGGGAGGACCGGCCCACATCTGTGGTCCTCACGCCTGGGGGAGCTTCCCGGCATCAAGGGGTGGGGGCAGGGATTGTGCTAGGCTCCCACAGCGCCGGGGCTGGCGTGCGCAGTGCCGAGGGGAGACTGTGCCATGGAGGCCGGGGACACTGGCCCCTGGGGAGGAGCAAGGAGTCCCCGCCTTTTGGGGTCTAGCATTACACTGGAGCACAGGCTGTGTGCCAGGCCCCCCTTCCTGAAAGGCCCCCTCCCTGCCACTGTTACCTGGTCCTTGGGTCTCCCAGGCAGCCCCGCGCTGTGAACCCATCTCCCTGTCCCACCACCGTGGCCTGGGCCGTCCTGCGGGACACGGGAAGCTCCTGGCGGCCTGGTGGCACTCAGCCCTTCTTGCCCTCGGGCCCCACTTCTCTTCCCAGGACACTGTCTCTGTCCACCGGCCCAGCTTCTATGCAGAGCGCTTCTTCAAGTTCATGAGCAACACAGTCTTCCGGAAGAATTCCTGTGAGCTTCCCGGGCCCTTTGGCAGGAGGGCCCCAGGGTGCGGAGCGGGGAGGCGGGGTGGCCAAGAGTGCGGTAAACCCGGAGCACCTCCTCCCGCTGCCTGGCCATCCTTGGGCCTGGCTCAGGGACGAGGTCCAGAGAGCAGGGTGGTCAGGGTGCCACCCTCATGGGCCCCAGCACAGGGCCCGGTGCCCACTGTTTGAGCTTGAGTCCTGGCCCCACCGCATCCTGCCTGTGTGACCTCCAGCGGGTGATGCCCTACCCCATGCCTCGGTTTGCCTGTCTGTACAGAGCTGTGAGGGCAAGATGTGTTTACACACGAAACGGGTGCATTTGGCCCTATACCAGTCCTTAAGGGCATCACCTGCAGCCTCGTGCATCACACGTGGCCTTAGTGGGCATGGAGGCAGCCCGTCATCAGCCAGACCGGGCATTGTTAAGGAGGGCACAGGACAGACAGAGGTGCCCGTGCTCCAGGGGTGGCCTCGGGAGGTCCCCTGTCTGCACTGGGCCTCGAGTCCCAGACCCTGGTGCACACCCCAGGCCAGGATCCCATGTGCTGCCTGATAGGGCCTGTCTCTGTCCCCATGTACCTGCCTGGCATCTGCCCCCTGGGCCGCCAGAAGGCAGCGTGCTTGTCAGCCTTGGTCACTGTATGTCCCTGGCACGCAGCAGGTGTTCAGTCAGTGTTCGTGGGCGTGCACTTTACCATCCAGGCTTCGACCTGCAGGAGCGATGGAACCCCACCTCTCTGCAAGGTGTGTGTGGGCGGTGGCCCAGCTCCGGTCACCTGGAGCCAGTCATGGTGCCAACGCGACCCCATGTTCTCTGACATCTAGCCAGTAGCTTGAACTCGATGGCAGGGGGATTATTTATATTGTTCACATTGGGGAAGTGTGCAAACGCCACAGTTCTGGTGTTTGTCTCCTGAGAGCAGGTGGTTCATCCACGTGAGCGCACCATCCATGTGAGCAGATGAGAACCTTGCCTGGGGCGTCACTCTCACTGTGGTCCAGGGGCGCTTGCCAGCCTCCAGGGACGGGAGGGCCGCGTACAGGGAATCCAGCACCTGTGTGCTGGGAGCTGTGGCCATCCTGGGAGCAGAGCTCACAGCAGGAGTGGATGGGCGAGGCCTGGTGCGGGGGGTGCCACGGGGCTCACCCGCCTTGTCCCACCCTGTTGCTGCAGACGGTGACGCTAGGGCGAGCCCCGTTCCCCAGGCTCTGTCCTGGGTTGGAGCCTGGCCCTTGGTGCTGACCCCGCATGCCCCAAGGCTTTCCGTGTCCTTGTGTGAAAGTGGAGGCCACGGGCAGGGCGGGCCGCGGGACAGGGCCACCTGGGACCTCCAGGCAGAGCTGGGTAGAGAGCAGGGCAGGGTTTTCTGCACAGAGAATGTTGCTTCTTGCCCACGCTGGAGGCCAGGCAGCAGGGGGCCCTGTGTGCAGGCAGCGGGCCTCGGGGGGCACCAACCAGGCTTCCGTGCGGAGGAGGGCCGGGGCTGGGGGGGGGGGGCCTGCCTCGGTGCTGCCTCGGCTCTCAGGCTGCCCCAAGCGCCACTCCACCTCTCCACCGTCCACAGCCCTGAAATCTTCACCGTCCAAGAAGGGCCGTGGAGCCTTGCTGGCTGTCAAGCCCCTGGGACCCACAGCTGCCTTCTCGGCCAGCCAGATCCCCAGCGAGCGGGAGGACGCACAGTACGACCTCCGGGGGGCCCGCAGCTACCCCACGCTGGAGGACGAAGGTGACTGGGTGCTTTGGTGATGGGAGAGATAAGGGGGCTGCTGGGGACAGGTGCTGTCCCTGGGGCTAAGGGACAGTGTGAGGAAGGGTTTACTGAGGCTGGCTACCTGGACGGGAGGGGCCTGGGTCACAGTCACCCCCAGCCCAGCCAAAGATCTGCGGCCTCGTGGGGAGGGGGAGCAGCTGAGACTGCCACAGGGAAAGCTAAACAGAGAAGGTGCCACTGGGGAGGTGACCCACCCCATCACCAGACACCCGGAGACCTAGAGGCATGAAGCATTTGATGGAATTGGGCGTGATGTTTTGGAAGGTCCCCCCAGTTCCCAGGGTTAAAGAGTCAAAGATTCCAGGCACGAAGGGGCTGGGTGGAATAGCATAAAGGAAGGGAGAAACCGCACATGCAGAGGCCCTGGGGCTGCTGTGTTGGAGGGACAGCAGGACACCTGTGTGGTTGGAGCAAAGTCAGGGAAGGAGAGAGGGAGGAAGTGGGCCTCCAGCAGGACCTGTGGGCCTGAGGAGGGTTTCGATTGCAGTTTGAGAGTAGTGGGCTACCGAAACCTTGGTGCCGACAGTAAATTCAAGCGTATTTGTCCTCTTAAAGCTGCCAAGCAGAATGGAGTGTTGGGTGGCAGGTGGGGCGGGGCACGGGCTGCTGAAGGTGAGCCAAGCTGCAGGTGGAGCCAGAGGCCTGGGAGGGCTGCTGAGGGGGCCTGGCTGCCGCAGCGCCCACAACCTCCTCCCCACAGGTCGGCCCGACCTCCTGCCCTGCACGCCGCCGTCTTTTGAGGAGGCCACCACCGCCTCCATCGCTACAACCCTGTCCTCCACGTCTCTCTCCATCCCGGAGCGGTCTCCCTCGGAGTCATCAGAGCAGCCTCGGTACCGGTGAGGAGCCTGGGGCCTCTCCCTCCGTGAGGCAGGGGTGGGGAGTGCGCATCCTCCGCGGGAGGGGCGGGGCGGGCGGCCTCCCCCACCTGATCCACCTGCTTGCGTCTTTCTGCAGGAGGCGCACACAGTCTTCAGGACCCGATGGCCGGTGAGCTGAGACCCCAGCTTCCCCCCCAGACCCTGACCCCCCCCCAGTCCGGCCTCCCCTGAGGCACCCCTGCACTTTCCCACCCAGAGTCCCGCCTCTCTGGCCACTCCCCTGGGCACAGCTTTAAGTTAGACTCTAGAATGTCACAGAATCTTGAGTTACTTTGTGGTCCTCTCCACACAGACTCCCAGAGGGGCCAGAGGACCCCTCCCCTGAACCTGCTTGTTGATCCTTTTTTTAATCATTATTACATATTTTTATTCTAAGTGGTACAAAAGACAATATATTGAAACTCCTCCCCCTGCCCCGTGCCCCTTCCCCTCCCTGGGAGCAGTCCCTGGATGGGTTTTTTATTTTTCTAGAAATATTTTATGACTGTACAAGAAAACAAACCTACAGGCCTGTTTCTGCCTCTGGTCTTGACACCAGCACAGCTCTCTGCCCCTGCAGGCCTCTTGCTTTGTGCACTTAGCAGATAAAGGTCATCTGTGAGCTGGGGGGAGCGCCTGCGGGTTCCGTCTGACGGAATGTAGCCTGCCCTCGGGGGCACTTCGGTGATTGCACTTGCCTGATCTTGCCATCGCGACCACAGTGAATAGGGCTTGCTTTCCTTAGTTTTGGGGCAATTATTCCGGCCATTAAAAAAAAAGTTACAGCACAAGGCACATTTGGCAGAATGCACTTCTCTCTCCTGCTGCTTGCTCCCACCTCAGCGACCTTTCTGCTCTCTGATGCTGCCATCCATCCAGAGAGCTTCTGCATGCCTGGCTGCCGGAATGTTCTGACCCACCTGCATCAGGGGCCTGGACCTTGAAAGCCCTGGAGCCACCCCACCCCCAGTCCAGGCCCCAGGCCCATGTGCAGCTTCCCCCTGGGAGGTTGAGCAGGATCCCACCCTATGCATTATGCCCCTGCTGGTACCAGAGTCACAAGATGGTCTCAGGTGGACAACCAGTCCCTGCCCCCATTGCAGACCCTAGGTGGGCATGACACCCACAGGACCAGGGGTGAGCTGGACCAGCCCAGGGCACTGGTCAGATGGCACCCAGAGAGAGCACCCCATGGAGGCCCCCCGGCTTCCCACCAGGGCTGGAGATCTGAGCTGGCCTGGAGCTTGCCCCTGGGGGCAGAGTTAGGGTGAGGAGAGAGAGTGAGGTGCAGTTTCCCACTGCCTCCAGGCCCCAGGAGGAGACACATGCAGAGGAGGACCTGCAGCAGATCACGGTGCAGGTGGAGCCCGCGTGCAGCGTGGAGATCGTGGTCCCCACAGAAGAGGACGCGGGGTGAGTGTCGCATCGCCCGACCCCTGCACCATGCGCTCGGTCCAATCCGACTGGCTAAGCGCAGTCACGTGGCCAGCTGGCAGCAAGGCAGGCTGGGGGATGTAGTCCAGCTTGTGGACGGGGTGGGGGAGCCGAAGCGGGGAGAGCCTGGGAATGGGGCCTCCCACTGGAAAGGGGCGGTACAGGGCGTGGGAACCAGGCAGTCTGTGCAGGGGCCCTGGGGGGCCTCGGATCTCCCGGGGTTCCTCACCCTTTCTGCCCTGAGCCCCAGGTTGCGGGAGGGGGCTTTCCGGTTCCCCAGGAAGCCCCTGGATGCAGCCCCCTGCCCCGGGTGTATGTTCCTATGTCCGCTGCTTCTGCTCCTGCGGAGCACCTGCCTTCCCGCTCCTGGTTCCTCTCCGATCGGGCCTTTCCCTCAACGGGGAGGCGCCTGCGGCCGCCCCTTCTCATGGATTCACGTGGGGCAGTTCTCTACCGGCTCCTTGATCCGGGGCAGTGGCTCTCAGCCACCGGGAGTGACCCTGCCCCCCAACCCCAGGGACACCTGTGGCGGTCAGCCCCACCCCCCGTGTGCCGGGGGGGACACCCTGCTGTAGGGTTTTAGAAGTGTCTCTCAACTTCCCAGGATTTGAAGACCTGTTTATATTTTCAGGGCTGATTTCTATACGTCTTTATTTATTTTTTTTTAAAGATTTATTTATTTATTTATTTATGATAGACATAGAGAGAGAGAGAGGCAGAGACACAGGAGGAGGGAGAAGCAGGCTCCATGCCAGGAGCCCGACGCGGGACTCGATCCCGGGACTCCAAGATCGCGCCCTGGGCCAAAGGCAGGCGCCAAACCCCTGAGCCACCCAGGGATCCCCCTATACGTCTTTAGTTATAAGTTGAAGAAAGCGGCTTTAAAGAAATCACATATATTTTGAAAACAGATTAAAACCTTCATAATTGAATACAAAACTTATCTTTTTTTATTAAAGGATTTTATTTATTTATCCGTGAGAGACAGAAAAAGAGAAAGAGGCAGAGACACAGGCAGTGGGAAAAGCAGGCTCCCTCCAGGGACCCCGACATGGGATTGGATCCCAGGACCCCAGGATCATGCCCTGAGCCAAAGACAGATGCTCAACCGCTGAGCCACCCGGGCGTCCCCAAAATTTATCTTTCTATTTTATTTTATTTTTTTAAAAGATTTTATTTATTTATTCATGAGAGACAGAGAGAGAGGAAGAAGCAGGCTCCCTGGAGGAAGCCAGAGGTGGGACTCGATCCCAGGACTCCAGGATCATGTCCTTGGCCGAAGGCAGGCTCTAAACTGCTGAGCCACCCAGGGATCCCCAAAGTTTATCATTTTAAAGATATTATTTTTTTATTCAAGAGAGACAAGCGGGGGGGGGGGGCGGGCAGAGGGGAGAATCAGACTTCCCGCCGAGCAGGGAGCTGGAGGGAAGGATGTGGGACTCAACACCAGGACCGCAGGATCCTGACCTGCTTCACCGACTGAGCCTCCCAGGTGCCCCCAAATCAGTGGGCATGTGGGAGAAACGTGTTTTCTGTGGAGGGAAGGAACGTTCTGTGTCCCGTGTATTGATTGAGGCATCTAGTTGCCTTATGTCCTTGTTCGGTTTGGTTCTGTGTTTGCTTTGTTATCAAATTCTTCTTGCTTCCATTGTTGATTTCTGCTTCACCTGCTTCTAAAATTTCTCTTCTTTTCAAGACCCCTTACTTAGCGTTCACACACACTCCCCGCCTGTGCGTTGCCATCAAGAATTACTTTGCAGACACCCAGACAGACGCCCGCGTGCACACACAGCGGTTTCTGCCACCAGCCACTTTTTCCCATTAACTGAATTCCTGCCGTGTGACACATCTCTCTGTCTTTGCCCCCAAAACAGCCTACCATCCCACGTGGCTGGAGAGCCAGCTCCCCCTGGTTATAGGTGCCCCTCCCATCTCAGAGCTGTGCATTTTGCTCATGAGATGAACTTGTGCCCCCAACCACCTGGCCACCAGGTGAGACCTAGGAGTCACCTCCCCTCCCATCTGGAGCCTGTTTCCGCAACTCGGGATACCTGGCTCTTTCAAGATCGCAAATGCTCAGTAAAGATTACAAAGGGGTTCTGACCTCAATGTGGGGTGGGTGCTAGGTGTCCCTCCTTTATAGGTGAGGCTACTTGAGGCTTAGGGTTGGGAAAGGACCTTCAGGGTCGCCAGGGGTGAGTGGTGAGGCCAGGACCTGCCCACCCGTGTGTGCTTGAGCAGCGGTCAGTAGAGGCTCACCTGTTAGTGGGTGGGCACATCCTCCCCACCTCGCCACAGAGGTATTTGGAGGTGGGGGGTGGGGGGGCAGTTATTTGGCTTCCTGAGTCTTTTGTCCCCATGATGACCTCCTGATGAGAGGGGAAGAGGCAGGTGCAGGCTGGGGCTGGTGTGGGTGCTGTCCGGAGCCCCGCCTCAGGACTCCCCTGTCCTTGTGTCCCCAGGGTGGAGGCTTCTCCAGCTCATGCCTGTGCGGCTGCCGAAGCAGAAACCACCAGCCAGGCCTCGGAGCCCGCCAGCCAGGCCTCGGATGAGGAGGATGCACCCGCCACAGACATCTACTTTGTAAGTCCCCCGCAGCTCCTTCCGTCACCAGACCCCTGACCAGACATACACTCCTGCAGTCACACTCACAGAGCACCCACGTGGACACAGTGCACTGACTGGTCAGCAGTCACATGCATACACTCTTGCACGCCCAGTGTGCCCTCACACACATTCACATCACATGCTCACATGGCATGGGAGCACCCTGCCTTCGCCATCCAGGCCAGGCCACTCCAAGACCAGAGAACAGCCCTGTCCCTCCTCCCCAGGCCTCGTGACCACCGCCAGGCAAAGCCCTAGCCATGCCACTGCGTCTCCCTAGGAAACATCTGGAGTCCTCAAGCTGTGTGCCCCACCGGGCCAGCCTCTGAGGGCTGCAAACCATGTGGATCTTCTCCCGCTGGGTGGTGGGCACAGCTAGGTGGGTTCTGTTCTCAAGGATGCAAGGGAATTGTGGCGAGGGGTAGGTGTGCTTCACGCTGCCAACCTCACTGGCTGAGGACTCATGGCTGCTCCTGGATGGGGCGGGGTCTGTGGGAGCAAGAAGAGGCCCTCCCCCAGGGACCTGGGACCTCTCTTCCAGAGCAGGGGGTCGCCTCCCCCCCTCTGCATCTCCCACAGGCAAACAGCTGGGCCAGGAGCCTGGGTGAGGTGGGTGCTGGGCAGCCAGGTAGCCTGCAAAGTCCAGTCCAATGACACCCCCGCCCCCGCCCCAGTGGGTCCTGGGGCTGCCTTCCTCAGGCAGCCCTACTGAGGGGTCAGGTCAGAAGGCCTTATGCAATGAGGGGGACTGCCTCTCCTCCTCCCAGACCTTCGATCTTGTTGGCCAGTGAGCTGGGGGCCTGCTGCTGCTGCTGCTGCTGCTGTGTAGCTAACACCACCCTGCTCTGTCTTGGGGCCTCCGTCGGGCCTGGAGAAGGAACAGGTGCACTGTCTGTGCGTCCACATACCCGCCGTCATATCCCCATCCCTGGAGGCTTGGTTTGTGTCCCATCCTGTGGACCGGTGTGTGAGGTGGCCCCAGGGGGCCATGTCCTATGTGTGTGTCTGGGTCCTGACACCCAAGTGGGCGGCCAGGCCCTGTGGGCAGCAGAGAAGGTATCGGGCTGCTGTGGGACCCCCGCCACCCTGAAACTCACCTCCTGCTTGGCCATCGGCTTACCTGCCCTGCCCAGCACCCTCCCCACCTAACCGTCCCCTGGATTCCTGTTGCCTCATCCTGTCCTCTGTTTGCTTCTTCCCCCGCCCGCCCGGCCCACCCAGTTCACCGATGGGAGGTACTGGATTTACTCTCCCCGGCATCGCCGACTGCGGGCCGTGACGCTGAGCTCCTCAGGGACTGTAAGTGACCACAGCAGGCCTCCAGGGAGCCCAGCCCCTGTCCCACCACCCTGGGCAGCAGGGAGCAGCAAGTCCTGGCTGTCCCTCGTCCTCTGAGAAGGGACTTGGGGAAATAATCACCACGACTGAAGCCGGTCATGTGTCCCCAGTGATGTCACCTAGGTCCCTCTGAGGTGGGCATTGCTAGGCCTGTAGGCACACAGCCAGGGCTAAGGGGACTTGTCTGTAGTGGTGGGGTCTGCATCTGACCCCAGGCCCTGGCTGTCTCTGCCCCCTCCCCAGGCTGCCTAAGTCAGGGACAAGTCGGTAGACACTTGTCTAATATTCAGACCTGGCTGCCAGTGGCTCCCCAAGGGGCATCTGCCCTGCAGAAGCGGGCGGTCATGTGGGTCAGCAAAGGGACTTCAAAGCCAAGCTCTTTGCTGCAGGAGAGAGGAGGTGGTATCTCCATACCTACTTGATAGTAGAGAAACCATGGGCTCAGCTCCCCAGGAAGCCCACAAGAGGGCACAGTTCAGATAACATCTGGGTCCAAATTCCCAAGCAGCCCCTGTGTCTAGTAGACACCTATTGTGCTTGGGACACTGTGGGTATCGTGTAGCCATGGTATTATCAGGACCTGTTACTGTCGTCATGAGCAATAAATGAGGGGCCCAGAGAGGCCTAGGAATCTGCCCTGAGCCACACAGCACTCAAGCAGGCAAAACAAGTTGAATACCTGAAGTAGGAATTTCTGTTCTCAAGATGAGGCCCCTCAGAGGCTCCCATCTCCTACCCTAAATGCCTCTGAGCGTCAGTGGGTGTCCAGCACTGCCGAGCAAACCCAAGAAGTGGAAACCACTTCCCCAGACCTTCCTGCCATGCTGTGTCCTGCTGAGACAGGGATTCCACACCCCAAAGATGATCCAAGAGCTGGGGACACAGAGCAGGCCCTGAGGCCCCCTGGGGAAGTGATTTGCAGAGGCTGCCTGGAGAGGGATTGACCCGGACCAGGAAACACTCAGGATGTGGGGAGGCGGGAAGAGGAGGGGGGCTCCATAGAGGGCACAACAGAACCAAGTGTGAGGGCTAGGTGAGTGGGCACAGACCCTAGGGCCTGAGGAGGATGTGTCTTTGGCCCCACTTCAGTGGGGTCATCGCAGAGTTCTGGATCCTGCTGCCCACGATCCCTCGTTCCCCTGAGGCCAGCTCTTTGCAGAGTTCAGATGGAGATTCTTTTGTCCCACATTCTTGTCCTAGAGGGGCAGCTGCCCTGGCATCAAATGTGTGCTGCAGCTGCCCTGTGTTGGACACGGCATGAGCAGCCCCAAAAGAGGCCTCGCCCCATGCTCCCAGACTACCGGTTCCGGCCGGCTGGGGTGGGGGCCAGGCGGGGTGTGCTGTGACCACCAAGCGGTGAGCAGGGCCTATGCGCCTCTGTGCCAGGCTGCCCGCTGATGGACGGCCTTCAGGGGGCATGTGGCCCTGGGCCAGGTGCCTGGTGCCAGTGCCGGTGGTCTGGCCTGTGAGGGCAGGTTCTGCAGCCAGAGCTGTAGGGGGGCAGGATGGAGGGGGCACAGAGGTGGGGAGAGGCAGCGGGGGCCCTGAGGGGCAGCAAGGTCAGGGGGGTCCTGGGTTCACCCAGAGAGCCTGGAGGTCGCGTGCTCGTACTTGTCCTTCAGGAGGCTCTGAAGAAGCCGCCCCTGCAGAGCTGAGGCTCGTGCTTGTGACCCGACCGAGGAGGGGCAGGTCTGGGGGCTCTTCGGGTTGTGGCCTCCGCGGGTTTAGCCAGGGCAGAGGTGGAGCAAGGGCGCTGCAGACTGGGGGGTGGGGATCCCCAGGAAAGAGGAGGAAGAGGGAGAAGGGATCTGCAGGGGTTCTGGTGCTGAGAACAGACCCAGGAGGGACAGGTGTGGGTGCCGGAGGAAGGTGCGCCCCCCCCTCCCCCCCGCCTGACCCAGAACGGGGACGGACCCCTCCCCTGACAGCCGGGAGAAGAGCAGCCCACCCCCTGTGGCTGGCTCTCTGGGTGGCCCGCGCCTCGGTCTCCCCCTCTCCCGCCCCCAACATGAGGAAATGGGCTCCACCTGCAACCCGACTGCCCTCATCACCCAGGACCCTCGGTGGAGGGGTCTCGGGGCCCTGCTCCAGCAGGCAGCCCCGGTGGCCACACAGCAGGCAGGACCCGAGGCTGGGGTGCCCCCCCCCGGGGCGGGGGCTGAGCAGGGGGAGGGGACAGGGACAGCAAGCAAAGGCAAAGGCCCCCCCCACAGCTCCGCTGCACCCCGTGCTCTGCTTCCTGCCGCCCGCCCCGCGCTGCCGCCGCTCCACCGGCCCGGAGCCGTCCGGGTGGGGGGAGGGCCTGCCGGGGCCAGGGGCTGAGCCGCCGCCTCGTCGTCCGCGTTGGGGTCCGCCTCCTTTATTTCTGTTTCTTCCTTCCTCCCTGTCGCCTCTGTCGCGCCTCCTCGCACCCCTGCTCTTCTGCGCCCTTCCTGCACGTGCGCCCGCCCGCCCAGCCCACCGATGAGAGGAGCTGGGTGTACTCCCCGCTTCACTATAGCGCGCACGCCCACCCAGCCTCCGACGGCGAGAGCGACACCGTAAGTGCGCCCCGCTCGGCCTCGGGCCAGCGCACGGCCTGCCCGGCCCGCCTGGCCACCTGAGCCCGCCTGGCCCCGCCTGGCCCCGCCTGGCCCCACCTGGCCCCACCTGGCCCCGCCTGAACCCGCCTGACCCCGCCTGGCCGCCTGGCCCTACCTAACCCCACCTGGCCCCACCTGGTCCCACCTGGCCCCGCCTGAACCCGCCTGCCCACCTGGCCACCTGCCCAGGACCAAGGGGGAGACAGCGGGCAGGGGGCGGGGCAGCAGCTGGGGGTCCCGCCCCGCCCCTCCGCCCCTCAGCCACCCCCTTGCCTTCCGCAGTAATTTCTATGCAGTCACCGACCCGGAGCCGAGCGCCCACCGCCGCCCCGGCTGCTCCCCGGAGGCCCGCCCGCAGGACCTGGCTGCACGCCGGCCGCCGCCGCCGCTCCCGTCAACTACCTATGCCTGTGAGACTGTGAACCTCCCTGAGTGTCCGATCATGTATTTATTTTGGGTCCTTACTCTTTGCACAAAGACGGCAGCACACATGTGCTTTTTTAGAAAAAGATAAAAAAAAAAAAAAAAAAAAGGACGTGTCGCGGGAAAAGAAGAAAGTCCACTGCACTTTGTGGTTCTTTGCTGTGCTTGCATGTGTCTCCCGGAGGGAACAAGGCCTGTGGGCTCGGGGTGCCGTGCCCCCGGGGCCGGGCCCCCCCGGCTGAAATCCACACTCCGAGGCTCTGTCTCTCTCCACTTGGACGGGATGCGGAGGAAGGAAGGGCCCCACCTGCAGCCCATGGGCTCAGGTTTCCGGGCCAGGCACTGGACATCCGACCGTGGGAGGTGGCTGACCAGTGGTCCGGGGGCGACTCTCCACCCTGCCGAAGCCTGTAACCTCTACGAGTCTGTTTCCGACCACCTCACCTGCCAGGTGACTCATGAGCAGTATGGCCGGGGGCCACCCCTCTCGCCGGAGCTCAGGACTGTGGGCCTGTCTGTGCTCCCGGCGTGGCCCGCTCAGTGTCTGGCAGAGGGCCTGAGCCGGGGAGGCGCGCTGGGCCCTCAGGCCGTGGGACTTGCCGAGAGCCGGTCCTGGAGCAGGGGCCCTCCCGTGCTCACGCTGCTCGGCTGTCCAGTAAGAGATGCTCCTCCAGGCCTGGGATGGGCTTTGGGCTTTCTCTTTAAGATGCTGACATGAACGCAAGTTAAAGGATAGGAGACAAAATTCCTCACGAAAAATAAATTTTTTTTCCGGTTTGTTGTCCTCAGCAGGGGCAGCCCCCCCCCCACTTTGGGCTCAGAGAGCTCACCGTGTCACTGTGGGCGCCAACAGCATGGCAGTGTCCATCCTGTCCCCACAGAAATGCACTCCCGCCTCCTGAGAGGTGGCATGGTGGGGATGGTCTCCCCCTAACCGCTCTGCCCCCCACTGGCTTGCTTGGGAGGAGCTGGGAGCTGGCTTGGAGCAGAAGCTGTGCCTTCTGGAAGAATTTCTCCCGGCCCTTGCCTTCCTGGTGGAAAACCTACTGATCCAGGAGATAGATTTTCCGTGTCCCTCATCTCCCCTCGCCTGGCTCTCTTCTTGCGCCTGGAGGGAGCCTGTTGGCCTGGCTGCCATCGGTCCAGAGCTGCCAGGGAATGTGCCAGCGTGCGGCCCTGAGAGAAGGCAATCCTGAGAGGATCCGTCAGAACAAGCCCGTGGGTGTCCCCGATTAGAAGCAAAGTGATGTCCTCCCCCTCTTGCCCAAGGAGCCTTTGTCCAGAGGCAGAAAGCGTCCTCACCTGGATTTCAGATCAGCATCTCTGCAGGTGCCCTGGCTGCATGCTGGGAGTTGTCAGCCCATCCCTACCCTTTCTCGCCAAGGAAGGTGGCGACTGAGCAGACGGAGGTCTGAAGGGGTATCTCAGGCCTTGGTGACTGACAGGGACAACTATGTCACCCAAAAGCCGGCATTGGGAGTCCCCTCCCAGCCCCCAAAGGTCGGATGTTCAGGCACATTGTGAGTTCTGTGGGGATGACCAGAGCAGCAGGCACAGTCCTCGTGGAGCGGTGTGCCCTGGACACAGGACGCTGACAGCCACCTGGAGCTTTAGGAGACAGGAGGGGAGCCCTGCTTGTCCCCGCGGGCTTTCCTAATTGAATCACGAAACAAAGGCATCACTTAGATGCTGACACTTGAGAGAAATTTGCAAGCGTCCTGGATATCATGATGTTTCTATTTTTGTGTTAGGTCCCAGAGACCCCTTTGGAGACCTGTTTTGTGTTGGTTGCTTTCTTTGTCCCTTTTCAGAGAACTGTCACGTGGATGCTAAACGTGGTCTGCACACTGTGCCGGTGGGAGTGTTTGCTTATTATGTTCCGGGGGTGGGGGGTGGGGGGCAGGAAGGCAAGACCTTATTTATAATGTGTAGCAAATTCAGGGCCTTTCCCAGGCTCCGCCCCCCACCCCCCTTCCCCATCCCAGGAAGGCCCTGGACCCACCCAGCTGTGCCCACCCCCAGCATAGAAATCTGAGTTCCTTTGTGGCTCGTCCCCAATGACTGCTGTCCCTGAGATGGCTGCTGTCCCTGAGAGAGGAGAGCCTGGGCACTGTCTGGATTGCTGTGCTGTGAAAACAAAAGGCATTTCCTGAGACTGACAAGGTGCAACTTCCTGAGAGCCCCTGCCAGCCTCCAGCCTCCGGCCTCCCGCCTCCCGCCTCCCCTCGCCCCTCCCTCCACCACTTGGCTCAGTGCAATACTCCCGGTGGGGTCCCTTGCCATGGTACTGTCGCTGCAGCCCCTCGGTCTGCTCCCTGGGCCAGCGCCCTCCACCGCCTTTTCTCTGGTGGCTCAGTTGCATTGCCTGTCCCCGCCCCCAATGTCGTTTTTATGGTCGAACTGATTTCAACACAATGAAACTGCAAACCTCGTGTGTCTTAATTCTCTCTGGGGGTTCTGTGTGCTCAGCCCCCGTGGTCTGGGGTGTGACAATCCGGAGCGCGGCCTCATCAGGCACAGAACGCCGTCTCTTTCAAACCCAGAGCCATGGGCACCTCTGTAACTGTGCAGTCCTGCTGGCCCCAAATAACATATGCAGCCCCCGGCCCCTATCCTCCCTACCGCCCCTCCTCCTTTTTACGTTGAAGAGTTCTCTCTAATAAAATCGGGTAATAAGCATCACCCTCTCTCTGCCTCCGTACGTTCTGGTGGTTGGCTGGGGAATTTAAGGACTGACTTTGAAGGAGAACAGAAAGAAACTTTGGTCAGATTTAAAATAACAGGACCGGGGATCCCTGGGTGGCTCAGCGGTTTGGCGCCTGCCTCTGGCCCAGGGTGCGATCCTGGGGTCCTGGGATCAAGTCCCACGTCGGGCTCCTGGCGGAGCCTGCTTTGCCCTCCTCCTGTGTCTCTGCCTCTCTCTCTCTCTCTCTCTCTCTAATATATATATATATAAATATATATATATATATATAAATATGTCTATCATGAATAAATAAATAAATCTTTAAAAAAAAGAAGCAATTAAAAATAAAAAAAATAACAGGACCTAATGCCTTAATAGCTGTGGCCTGCTTCGGGTTCCAGTTCAGCTCAGGAAACTGAAAAATTTCTGACATCAGCCCAGCTCAAAAGAACAAACACTTGCCAAAGTTTGTATTTGATCCGCCAGCGTTGCTCAGATTGAGTAATGAATGCATGGACCCCTTTTAAGGGGAAAATATTTCTCCAGGATTCCCAACTGGAGAAACGCTGCTTTGAAAGTAAGATCCCATCTGTGAGCCCAGTTTCATCCTGATGCAGAACAGCACAGCTCACTTAGAACCTGGACATGCCGATGAGCTGCAGCCTGTTTACCGTCACGTCCAGAGAGGATTCGCGTACTCTCAAGATGCATCTGCATTTTGAGAATCACTGGGCCCTTGGGGTTTTATCCACATCCTGATAAGCTGGCTTGTTACGGAGGGTGGCGGGAGACGGTCTTCGGGAAGTCGTCTGCGCCACCCACCCCACCCAGCGCCTTGGCACGAAGCAGAGTGCGAACTAGCATTTAGGGTGACGTCATGAAGTTGTAAAGATAAACATTTGAAGAGCTTAAACTAGAACGCAAAGTACCATCCTCTGGGGTGGGCTGCGGGAGCTTGGAGCAGGGACTTCGGGGTCTTCCAGCCCTACCTGCCGCGGCCCTTCCTGGGCCACCAGTCCCTCAGGGACCCCACCTAACAACCAGCACCCACACACACGCCCCTCTCCCTGCTCAAAGCCCTCCCGTGACTCCCCAGCACCCACAGAACAAAAGCGCACCACCTAGTTCAGATCCCAGCACCATATTGCCTCATCGGGGCTGGGGCGGGGGGGGGGGGGGGGCTACTGTTTTTTAAACTGACTTTCCGTCTCTGAGCCTCAGTTTCCCCATCTTTGCGGGCGATGGAGCATGATGGTAACTCTCAAAGGTCAGCCCAGCCTCGAGGCTTTTCAGTCTCCGACCTGGAGTCCGTCAGTCTCCCCGGTGAGCAGGCTGGCCTCGAACCCACGACGTCGCAGCCGGCCCGCCTGCACGGGGCCCCGAGATCTCGCGGGCGCGGCGCGCCTCCGCTTGGCCCCGCCCCGAGGCCCCGCCCCCTCCCGGGTCCCGCCTCCCCAGGCCCCGCCCCGCTCGCTGTTCCGGGTTCGCTCTGGCTCCGCCCACGGCCCCCAGGCCCCCCCACCAAGGCGCGAGGACCCACATGGAGCTGCCCCTAATACTGCCTAAAGGGCGAGTCCTCCACCCTGGAGACGGAGGCCTGGCCGGAGGCCGTCACACGGGCCACCTTTGAGGGCAGTGGAGAGGTGGAGAGGTGACGGGGCGCCGGAGCCCGGCGGGACGGGACAGCGACACAGGTTTCCTTCCCTCGGCTCAGGCGCGGGCGGGGCAGCCTGGCGCGCGCCGCAGGGGAGGAAGGCCCCCGGCGCAGGCCCCGGATATTTGTGTCAGCGCTGCCGCCACCGCCTCAGCTGATGGGTCGGGACACGCGCTCGCGCTCGCGGTCGGCTGGTCGCAGGCGCCGCAGGCAACGGAGCGGGAGTCGGAGCCGAAGTCGAAGCGGGAGCCATGGGCGGCGAAGCCGCCGGCGCCGGGACGACGAAGTACGGCGCAGGCGGAGGCGGCAGAGCCGGGAGCGCAGGTGGGCTCGCTGCGCGGACGGCGCTGGGGAGCCGGGGATCCCGGAGTTAGTCCGTGAGGGCTTCCTGGAGGAGGAGGCGTCCGGCTGCGGGTGTCGCTTAGGCGGCGACAGCAGGGCGAGAGGCGCCCCGGGCGTCCCGGGCGTCCCGGGCGTCGGAGGGGACGGTGGGAGCGCCGCGAGCGGGCGGCGGCGGGCTGGGCGGCGCGGGGAGAGGTTCGGTCGCTCTTGGGAGGGGAGCACGAAGCCAGGGACGGATTCCGAGCAAGAGGGCGACGTGGCCTGACTGACTTTGCGGAACTCTCCTCCGGTTTCCGCGTGGGAAAGGGACGGAGGAGGAGGCTGGCAGGAGCGACTGCGGGGAGGGGGAAGGTGGTTCGGTCGTCTAGGCAACGGATGGGGGTGGCTTTCAGGGAGGGAGGCGGTGGGAGGCGCGGTGGGGAAGTGGGCACGACCGAGAGGGATCGAGAGGGATTCCCCAGGTGGAGGTGACAGCTCTTGCCGCCGGAGTGGGCGTCAGACAGAACGGCTGGCGACAGGGGGCCGGCCCGGGCCGACTTCTCGGACCTGGGTCTCGGCTTCTCCGAGGCCCACAGCCCCGTCTGTTTGGAAAGGGGACACCTGGGGCGTCTGGGTGGCTCCCTTGGTCAAGTGCTCTGCCTCCGGCCCAGGTCGTGATCGCCGGGTCCTGGGATGGAGCCTCACACCCCCTCCCTCCGCCCGTGCTCACTTTCTCTGCCAAATGAACAAACACGAGCTTTAAAAAGCGGGTTCGGGGGGGAATGGGACACCTCTCCACTCTCCAGGCTTGGCTTCAGCCTGCTCCCGCACAGAGGGACCCCGACGGTGCCGGGGACTGACTTCCCGATCTCGGTCCCAGTGCTGACTGACCGCCTGCCTGGCTGTGACCGTCGGGCCAGTCCCTGCGCCAGTGTGGCCAGTGTGGCCCGCGTGTGCTCCTCTCCGTACTGAAGACGTCCGCGGGGCCTCTCCCAGCACGCCTTGTCTCCCGTCCCTCCGGCCTGTTCACACCCTAGTAGCCACAGTGGCTGTAGTCAGAAGTGGCTGATGGCCCTCTAGCTTCGAGAAAGCTTTTCTTGTCTGAGGCTCCTAAGATCATTGCAACCGCAGGCTGCCGAGAAGTTAGAAGAAGCAGAACGGAAGTAGCGCAGACAGGGTTTAAAGCGGGGTGTGCAGCCTGCCCCTGGTGAAGCGAGAATGGTTTACACGTGTCTTTTTGAAGATTTCCTTCATTTATCAGAGAGCGCGTAGGTACGTGCATGAGCAGGGGGGAGTGGAGGAGGGAGAAGCAGACTCCCCGCTGAGCAGGGAGCCCGACACGGAGCTTGGTCCCAGGACCCCAGGATCATGACCTGAAGCGAAGGCAGACGTTTAACCGACGGAGCCACCCAGGTGCCCTTGGTTTTTACATTTTTAAATAGCGGGGGGAGGGGGGGGAGAAAAGGAGAAAAGTATTTCATGAGACGTGAAAATTTTATGGGGTACTTGAATGCGTTCAGGTTTTGGGGTGCAGAAGTTAAAACTTACTGGGACCCACCCATGCCCATTAGTTCCTGTCTGTCCGAGCTACTATTTCCCTACAACAGCAGAGCAGCAGACTGTGTCCTCGACCATCTGGCCGCTTACAGAGAGTTTGCTGGCTCTGGTGTGAGCCCCTGGGGTTGTTGTTTTCTGCACTGGTTCACGTACAGCAGTCAGTCTTCTGTGCATCTCTCATATTTGCTGTTTCCTGGTATTCGAGTTAGTCAGGAGAATCAGCCATCCTGGATACCGAGTTCAAGTTGGGTTGTTTATGAAAATCTGATCAAGGGGGAATTCCTGGGTGGCTCAGCAGTTTACCACCTGCCTTCGGCCCAGGGCGTGACCCCGGGGTCCTGGGATCGAGTCCCACATCGGGCTCCCTGCGTGGAGCCTGCTTCTCCTTCTGCCCCCTCCCACCCCTTTCTGTGTCTTTCATTGATAAATAAGTAAAATCCTAAAAAAAAAATCTGATCAACTGTGTAGTTTGCCTACAGGGACTCTAAAATAATTGGTTCCCGTGGCATAGATTTATTTTGTGAGCTTAACAAGTGGAGCGTTTAACAAAATGAAGAGACATGGTTGTTCCTCTGCACACTCAAAGGCCCCTGACCATTAAGGAGCCTATCCCTGCAGTAGGGCTCGTGCATTCCATTTCGTGTCCACAGTATTTTTGCCTGGCACTTGGGTCCTGCCAGTCTTACTCTAGTTCACTCCAGCCCATCCTGTGAGACCTGTTTAGCCACCACTTCTCCTGTAAGCTCCCTCTTGTTACCTGGACAGATCGGATCCTCTGCTTCCTATACTTACAGCTCCTGTACCATCAGGCCCCAGCCCGCCTCCCTGTCCTCACTCCCTCCTTCACTCCCCTTTGTTCACGTTGCTCCAGCCACACAGGCTTCCTGCTGCTTTTTGAACATGCCAAGTAAACTTCTGCCGCAGGGCCTTTGCTCCTGCTGTGCCCTCTTCATGGATGACTCTCTCCCTGTGGCATCTTCCCCTGCTTTCTCCAGAGTTGCCTCCTCTGATCTCTATCTCCTAATGCCTAGTCACTCTTCTTTGGGACTTCTAGCACTGTCCAGTGTCATGTGGCGTGTTTGTTGATGGGAGCCTTCCAAAGGTTGCGACCTTTGGTCGGTATCACTGCTGGTCACGGCCGTGTCCCCAGGACCTAGAACAGCACCTGGCATAGTAGGTGCTCGGTAAACATTGTCAAACGAGACTGATCAGCAGGCAGTGAGCACACCTCTGTGGATTCCCTCCACAGGTCAGATTCGGAGGAAGAAAGGTGGCAGCGGCGAAGGAGGCCGAGCCCGAGCCCACTGCCACCGCGATGGCGCTCACAGGACCGGTCCTCTCAGTCCGACTCGGATGAGGAACGGCAGGAGCAGCAGCGGCGCCGATGGGCCCGCCGGCGACGGACACGCTCTTGGTCCCCGGGCTCCTCGGCATCCAGCTCGGCCTCCCCAGACCGCTCCCAGA